ATTGAGATGGATGGTTTAAGATTCAGAATGAAGTGGAAAGATATGTTTTTAGACTATGGAAACGAAAAAGGGAATGGATGCTCACAGAGTCCTCGGGCAAGGCACTGAGCCTGTCTGATCTCTATAAAGTCGCAACACCGTAAGATTAACAATCATGTATTTTGTCATGCGTATCTAAGTCCTGGAATAGTAGAATGGCCTGGGTCCACTTTTGAATTTACTATAAAAGCTGCAGGGGGAGCAGAAATGACTCGCATGCGTGAACCCAATCTACTTAAAGAAACACTCAGGTCCAGCTTCATATATATATATATTATATAGCCTTTTTGGTATTCGCCTCAAACTATGGTAACTGTGCACCCTTCCTACTGACCAATGGTCTCCGACAACGTGGAATAGTGTCACCTGTTCTCATGTGTGATCTCGCTGTGCAGCACCAGTGTGGCAAACTGTGGCTCGTAAGTGACTCATGTGTACAGATGGTGTTTAAAGAGCTCTCTTTGGAGCCGACTGTGGTCTACGCGGCCCACTTGTGGTGCAGTTATAGCAAAAAAAATAAATGCAAATGATTCAGGTGGTTTTAAATAATGCTTTGAGAATCGTGCTTATGCTAAGATGGTTGAGTGGAAGTTATATGTACGTGACTCCTAATGTTCCCACCTTTCATGCTGTGTTGAGGAATTTTATTTACAAATTCAAATGTTTTAAATTTCAAATTCAAATTTATAAAAGCCTTAACTCTTTCAACAGTGATACACGGTGTTCAGTTTTTTTTTAATAAAGAAATGTCTGTTTTTGTATTTAGTTTTGTTGCATTTGTCATTATTGCTCAAACAAAGTTGAGTATATAAGACGGGCTTATGTGGGAAATGTATTACAATACAATACAAGCAAATTGTTATGATCGTAAATTATGCAATTTAAAGTTGCTTTTAAATAGCAATCTGGAATTGGTTAAGATGAGGGGGAACATTCATCCTGCTCACAACATATGGTTTTGAAAAGCAGTACTTGAAATTAACCTTCGTTCAAACCCTCAAATAAAATAATTGACCTACTACGATCATTCCTCTCTTCATGATCTGCAAACCTCTTTGTTCTCTTTGAAGCCGTTATAAAAGACAAGGTTAGTTACATGACAGCTGGTTGCAAGAGCGACCTTATCCACAAATTACTGTGGTAGAATAATTGTGTATGCATGGCCATGAAGTACACAGTATATTGTACCTTCACACTACACAGGTCTGAATAAAATCAGATAAAGATCAAATCAGTCCGCTGTTTGGACCTAAAGTAATAAACTACACTTGCAGCTACCGTGATGGCCACATGTGCCATTATTTTAACCAGGACTGAAATCTTAAGGATTGCAACATTTAAAAAGTCCTTTATTAATAAATAGAAAGCCAACCCAATTAAACAGGGAGCAAATGGGAATACACACCTGGATTTATTTTCTCAAACTGCATATTAAAGCAACCGTGGGGAATGTTTAAAGCCCATTAAATGGCCGTTATTGCTGTGATATTAAGATTTCAGATGGGCAAACTGCTCCCCTCATGTCGGGCAACTGTTGTAGCTGAAACATGTAGTGAAAGCTAAAGCATTTAAGCAAAACTACTTGTTTATGTTGAGAAAAAGATCCTGCTTTGTGTTAAAATGTATTTTTAACCCTTCTATTCTATTTAAAATAGATGATAACAGCAGCCAGATGAGCTAATTGGTCAGTAGAGTTTCGTCCTATCAACTCACATCTATGCTTCTGATCCATTTGATGGGCTGGTGACATTCAAAGCGGAGAATGACAAACATCATGTCAAAAGACCACTTATATGTATGTCAGCCATTCATAAGGCAACTATCACAGACACTTGTGTTCAACGTGGTCCATTTATTTACTATGCCCTATAATTTTACTTTAATGAAAAATGGGTTTGGCTTATGAGTTCAAAGGTTTCTCTCATGTTGTATCCTCTTCACTTTACAGATTCTGACCCCCAGAAGCAGCCTCGCTAGATGAGCATCATTGTTCTGTGAGCCGCCTTCTATTGCATTAGCACAGCAGATAATACCATTAGTCTGAATAAATGACCTACATCAGTGAATTATGAACAAATGAGAGCATTATAAAATAATGTTCAGTAAACTTCTTTTCAGACTCACAGAGCTTTTCTTTATCCTGATCTTTTTTAATCAAAACAAAACCAAGCTTCTTTGATTCCGGAATCTTACCCAGTCATTGCCACGTGTTTGATACTAACTAATTATAACGCCTTTTGATGGTCCTTTCCAAATGCTATGCATTTTGGAAGTGATTTAAAGTCTGTTTATTAGGTCTAAGGATGAAATTTATGATTCTGCTTTTTAGGCTCATGTGCTTTGCAAAAATCCCCGAGATTGAACCCTTCGCTTTGGGCACACATCAAAGTCATCAAACACCTTCAAAACTGTGTAAACTCTGTTTGTATTTCACATTTGTGTGCCTCCCAAGAACACAGCAAACGGATGGCAATTCCTGGTTGAGAAATGAGGAAAAGAGGTAGAGAAAGAAACAAATAAAGACAGAAAAAATAAATGAAGAAATGCCCAACAGCGAGTAGACCATGTACGTTTCCTAATTGACCTTTATTGATCTCTTCCTCTAATCAGGTCATAGATAAATACACACACACACTCCCCCTCTCTCTCAGGGGTACTATCAATATCCCTTGCTGAGACACCGCTCGGGCAGTTTGCATCTGGTCTTAATCACGTAGACTGATGGTCGGATCAGTGAGAGGTAAAAGACCAGCGGATGTAACTGCTGTCTGCCAGTGCATTCATTAAGACCAACACACACATAAACACACACACACACACACACACTCCCAACCTATTAATTAGTCTGACCTTTTGGATTGTGGCACAACACTACATTGTAAATCTTGTACCTTTCTGCAAAATCGATTGCACAGTGGAAGTGAACAATCCACCACATGTTGTGGTTCTGGCTGGTATTTCCTGCTTTAGTCAAGACAGCTGCTTGTTTTTATTGTAATGAAAAGCTGTTTCGGGGTTCTTATGTCAGAGCAGGTCCTGACCCCCCTCGGGTGGGGGGGCGGGGTGGGGAGGGGGGCGGGACAAATTCTGCCGAGAGGCCCTCATACCTGACCTTGGAGCCACGTAAACCGTTGGGCATTGCCACATAGTCACACCTGACACCCAAGTATAGTATCCAGCTACAACACAGTTATTGATGAATGCTGTCATTTATTCTATTTCCAGCTCATTCAAACTCTCCTCAAGATTTCATTTCTCATTTTTATATAAAAAACGAAGATCTCTTTTGTCTGAATATATGAGTTTCCTGTTTACTGGTTTCAGGGTTTGGGTTGCAATACTTATTTATTTATACAAAATTTCAATTAGAGGGAAGTATTTAGGAAAATATTCATGTTCCTGTGTTGCTTCTCATACTGCGTCACATCCGAAAAGGCTGATATTGCTGCGGCAGAGTTCATTGGAGGCGCTCAGGTGCGTTGCATACAAGTGCTAAAGGTTGTTGTAAAGGTTGCTACAAGGTTGTTTATAGGATCGGTGAAATAACTGGGCCATCAATAACTCAACATTTTCATTTTTTTTTGGTCTCAAGTCAGTCTTTATTGTTTTTCATCAAACTTGCCATTTTTTTATTCGCCGAAGTTAGATGAGAAGATTTGTAACACTCTCATTTTTGTAACACTCTCATTGGTCCGCGAAAATGAACTCCACAGCAAGCTGGCGGTTATCTTAGCTTAGCTTAGCATAAAGACCGGAAACTGGGGGAATCCAGCCTGCTAGCAATTTTGATTTAAAAATAACCACCTTAAGGCTCAGAATTTAAAAACTTTGCAGTTGAGAAATGAATCAGTGGTTTATGCAAATATGACCTGAAAAAAAACCCTCTACTTGAAAAGATCAAGACACGCAGACAAAATATCAGCCCCTAGTGGTGGTCACCGGAACTGAGACTGTTTGTTTGGGTTCAGAATTCTGTATGGCCGCAAACAATGGGATAAACTCTTCCCATAGTACACGCAACCACCTCACCCCGCCTCCACCTACAGTACCTCAGTGTTCCCAGACAAATAACATCACAGAGAACCCAATGACACCCTCTGGTAAACCTGAACACCACGCAGCCCTTTGAGGGCTACCGGTTGAAGAAAATTGGGACTTATTATAGGACCACTTTTTCCATCAAAGCTTCAGATTTAAACCCAGACTTTTCTGGCAAATTAGAATGTGAACATGGTTACAGTGATTGCATGAATATTCTTATAATAGAAGAGTTAGTAGTAGCAGTGGTGAAATCATGACTTGAACCCTGACACATGACCTGAAGAGACAGGTCAATCATGACTTGAAGAGACACATGTTCATTTGTTTGCCAACATCAACATACATTTATTGATAGATGTTGTGAACCCTGTTGTCGACGTTTGTGAGCTTTTGGGCTGAACTCGGTTTCCTGTAACTGTCCGTGCGGTCCATGCCCCAGGCCCATGAGCTTAGCTTTCAGAAGATGTAGCAGGGTTTACTAGCTCTGAAAAAAAAGACAAGCCGGAAGACACGTCTGGGTCTCAGCAAGCGGCCTTGACATTTACAGTCTTTCCAGTTTACAGAGCAAGTTCACTTCTTTATCCTACAGAAGTTTTTTTTTCATACAGAAACTAGCTATTGCAGAGGCGTTAGGTGTATTTCCCTTGAGTAAAATTACAGAAAATACTTTGTTTAAAGTCCCTCTGCAATCGAATAGAAATATTTAAGTAATTTACTTCATACTAATGTGTAGTACTTGACTAACTTCACTTAGTCAAGTCACTTGACTAAGTGAAGTCTAAGTCACTAACTTGCACAGCTACAATTCAAGAGTGACATATTTGTCAGAAATAAGCAGGACTCGTGAATCTTTTCATAATATTTGTGCGTGTTTGTGTTTGGTTCATTCTTCTGTAATGAAATACTGCAACAGACGCAAATAAAACATGGAATTATTTATTTACAGTTAATACGGGATCAGCATCTGAGAGAAGTGGTCATATATATACATAGTGACCAAACTAGACTAACAAAGTCTGTGTTTCTGTGTTTAAGTGGTGTGCATGGATTTCATTGAGTGTATAAAATCAGGCACTTTTACCATTTTCTATGGAAAATACAGATTGTCACATACACACATCATTTTCTCATTTACATACTGTCTATTTACATCACTGATAATTGACAGCCATAATCTTTTACACTAATTTACTTTTTGTAAAGATCTTTTGAATCTGTTTCTTTATACCCAAAAATATGTTTGTTTATTCATTTTGTTCTGTGATTAGCTTGAAAAGCTGTGATTGGATATCTTTAGTGTCTGTTTATTGAATGAGTTTTTGATCCCTGTCAATCGAATCACCCATAATGCATTTTGACTGGAGATTGGAGTCTTAAAACCAAAGTCACATCCCAGAGAAGCATGAGACTACTATTGCTGTACATGAAAATCCTGACTTAATGGATGACATGCCTCTGCGTAACTTTATGAAAGCTTCAGGTTTTTGGGCAATTTCTTTTCATCAACCGCCAATACTTAAATTCCTCAACTGGTGACATTTTACAGTTGCTTTTTTTAAAGAAATTTAAAAAAAAAGTATAAACTGATGTGCCAAAATCCCCAAAGTAAATGTGCCACTGGATGTGTTCACCTGTCCTTATCCTCTCAGCCAAATCCGACTCAAGCAGAACACCACAGTGCGCCTGCGGGACACAAGGTTCCCTACATGCATGTGTGCAGGTGCACACGGCCACCAAGGCACAGACACACACACACACACACACACACACACACACACACGTTTGACATAATTCAGCTGTGGGAGTTGAGGAAGTGTGTATGTGTGTGTCTGCCTTTGTGCCCGTGTTTGACCGGAGGCATGTGACCCGTGTTATTCTGTTTTCCCTCGTGCCTCATGTCATCAGTTCTGCTGAGATGTCGTACAACAGGATGTGCACTGGAGCAGATTTACTTTGGCTTATCTGTGTGTAGAAACTCGGCAATGTTGAACTTAAAGATTCATAGTCTACACTCAGCCGCCTGATCAACACAAGTGTCTCTACAGACACTCAAACATCTGCATTTGAGACGGCGGTCAACGAAAAAAAACTCGAATCCAACAAATCTGATCGCCAAGGGCAAGACAATAAGACAATGAATTTATGCATTCCAAGTTACGTGAAGATATTACAAACACATCAAAAGTACCACATATCTGCAAGCAATCAAATGAGTAAGTTTAAAGTGAAAAGAGTTAAATAGTGAGCCAGTTTTTCACCGCCTCTCTACGCCTGAATGGTCACCTCCCGCACACCTGTGTCAGTTAAGTCATACCATTCAGTGTTGCACTGCATGCTGGGAGATGACTTGGCGGCAGGGCAAAGCAGTGTGCGGAAGTGCCTCCTGAAGGTGTCGGAGAAGCAGGCGTAGAGGATGGGGTTGGCGCAGCTCCATGAGTACGACAGCAGCACCACAAACTCAAAAGCTCTGGCGAAGGGCAGCACCACGCCGGTTTGATACAGAGAGCAAAAGTTGAAGGTGTAAAACGGCAGCCAGCACACCCCGAACACCACCACCACCGCCACCACCATCTCCGTCACCTGTCGCTCCAGCCGGTGGCTCTCCTGGTTGGGCGGCGGCGCTCGCAGACGCTGGGCCCTCAGTTTGAGCAGCAGCGCCGCGTAGGACGCCGTCATGACGATGAAGGGCAAGGCGAACCCCGCAACGAAGGTGTAGGACAGGACGCCGAGCCACCAGACGTCCGAAACCAGGTCCGGTACGCACAGGCCCTGGTCGGCCGAGAAGTGAAGCGCCATCGGGAGGATGGTGAGCAGCGAGAACAGCCAGAGGAAAGCCGAGGCGATCTTGGCGCAGCGCGGCGTTCTCCAGCGGGCGAAGCGCAGCGGGTCGACCAGCGCCATGTAGCGGTCAATGCTCATCGCCGTCAGGCAAAAGACGCTGGTGAACTGGTTGAGGCCGTCCAGCACCATCACCACTTTGCACAGCGCGTCGCCAAACATCCAGCGGTTCTGGAAGTTCTGGCTCGCTATGAAGGGAAGGCCGACCATGAAGAGTCCGTCGGCCAGAGCCAGGTTGAAAATGTACACGGTCGTGGAGGATGACATTTTGTCTAATTTCAAAATGGCGGTAATGACGAGGGAGTTCCCAGCAAGTCCCAGAATGCAAACCACCAGGTAGAGCACGGCCATGGAGATGCCGTAGCCATCGACACTGTCCCCAAGGAAATAGTGGCCATTCACATATGTCTGATTGTCTACAACTGATAGAGATGAGGCGTCCATGCTGCCGTAGCGCATCCAATAATTAAAGAAATTATGATAAAAAAATTAAAATGACGGTCCGGATTCCTCTGCAAGCAGCTCAATGATCTAAAACTCAAACACGGTTGTCAGGTTGAGGAGCACTTAGGCTTCAGCGACATGTCGAGTCCCCCCCACCCCATCCGGTCAATTGTCACCTCTTTTTATCTATAAAAAAAAAAGAAAGAAAAAGAGTATTCCTTTGCGGCGGGGCAGGCGGCACGCTTCTCTCTGATCCACATGTGCGCACACACACACACACATACACTCTCACGCCCTCGAGTAAACACACGCTGTGATGCACAGCACCGTGGAAAAGAGCAGGACGGTCACTCGCTTGCCTGACCACTCTTTCTCCCTGGGAGCCTTTTTATATGTTTTCCCCCCACAGTGTGCCCCCCCCCCACCCACACAGTCATCCCGTCTCAAGAGACGAAGTCCAGCTTGGCTCACGCCCCTTCTCGGTACTCCCCCAGTCCCTCTGCCGTTATACGGTTTCCAAGGTAAACCGCGGCCCCATCTGCTGCAATACTTTTGTTTCATAACTTTTTGTCTTCCTTTCTTCTCGCCCCTCTGCTTCTGTTTACTTCACCCAACCTCGCCATCATCCATTTTGTCTTACTACAGTTCACTGGGGGGTCACACACACACACACACACACACACAGACAGATAATAGCACTATCTCGTTGCTGGGGCCACTCACCCTTTACAACCTAGATTGAGAAAATCTAGAGAGGAAAGAGAAGAGCTTTTAGTTCCTTCACATTTGACAAGAGATGCAGGTTTTTTCCCCCCCTCCTCCTCCTCCTCCAACCCTTCCACCTTGGTTTTCCTCACTTCACCTAAAGCAGAGGTGAAAGAAGAAAAGAGAAAGTAGACAAAGAGACGGGTAGATTGGACAAAGTGTGTGTGTTGGGGGGGGTGGGGGGGTTCGGGTTTGCCAAGAGACTCTGGATGATCGATGACCTCCGCCCTGTTGCCGTTTTGACACTCATAGTAGGCTCGTCCCCCGGAAAACCTCCAGTGTGTTCCGCCACCCACCATCAACTCTATACAGTCCGTTCCTCCCATCACTTCCACCCCCATCCATTGTTTCTAAAGACCACATCTGAGAGCTCATTCATCAGACGCCACACTTTTCCTCAGAGACATCTCAAGACAGACCTTCACTCTGGCTTTTGACTGGTTCCAGATGACTGGAAAAATGCCTTTGTAGTCTTAGCTCCTGATCAGGCTGTGGTTTAATTTCTCCCTGGAGACAGCGCTTCATACGACGAGGCCCGCCTCCCCTGACGATTGCTGTTTTGTGGTGCTAAATTTGGAGACGTTTGACAGCTTCGGATTTCACGGACACTGTTTTACAGCGGTGTTCAGACAGACAGGCTGTCATCAATGTTCAAGTGCCGCAGAGCTGTCGACAAGAAAAGCGCAAGTCATGTTGATCTTTCACATTGCCAGAATCAAGGACCGATACTTCAGTTTGTCAGGAATTAAGCTCTTGAAGAGTCGACGTCTGAAGAGTTAAAACGACAGTGATAACTACTGATAATGTCCATTCAGTGAGCTGATAGCATTCCAAATGGGTGCATCTACATCCCTCTCATGAACTCATAACGTACTGCCTGGAAATAATAATAACCATATGATGCTGCTCGATGAAAAGTCTTGAAATTCCACGGAAAAATCCAACAGATATTACTTTCATAGCCAAAAAATCCAGCTAGACCAAAGTCATTAGTATCACTTGTGACACCATAGATGTGTGTCTACATTTTGTGCAAATCCATTTGGTGCCTCAAGCCGTTTGAGAAAAATGCATTTGCTTGTAAAGAGTGTTGCAAATTTTTTCTCAAGGGACATTGAATACATGTCAAGATGTTTAAATGTTTAATATACCATACCTTACGGCAAGGAATTGCCAATGCCCATATTTCTCATTTCTTTGGGGCCCATGAAAATCGGTTGAGCTTACAGGCGGACATTTCCATCCATAGAGCCGTGCTGTGTGAATGAAAAACTGAAACACAAAGACGATCCGCAGTTTGCTTGCAATAATATTATTTCAGCAAAATATGCAGTAACTGCTTCCAGCATACTTTAAAGTGAGAGGAAGCGACAGAAGGAATCCGGAAACTACACACGTTTTTTTGTCTTGTTTTTTGTTATTTGGGTATCAGCGTATTCTCATTTTTTTGTTTCCCAGCAATAAACCCAGCTTGCTATAAACCCTAATTGCATTGTATAAGTTATACAAGTTTCCTGCCATTGCAACATAGCAATGTCAAATATTTAAAGGAATGTAGTCAAAACATTTATCCCGACTGCACTGTAACATCTGTTTTATTAATAAAATATAAACATCTGTCATTCCGTAATCTAAATGCATTAACATATTGTATCAAAAGTGCATGTTAACATCTAGTGGAAAAGATACAATTTAAAACGTAAAAATGAAAACAGTCTAGGCAATCTAGTGCTGTTTTAATGTTGTATTTAGCATAGAATCGTGGGAGGCAAATACATCAGAGGTAAACATTATAGCGTTTTTTCGGAACCACAGAGTAACTGCTTCCTTCTAGAGCCACCATTATTCACAGCTGTATTAGGATAGGATATTTTATATTTTGAGTCAATGCTATGAATTTACAAATTTGAAAGAATTCCATTGGTTGGTTTAGTTTTCAAAAAAAAGAAAGTATTGGTCAACTGGATCAAACACATACAAATATATAGTATCCTGCTGCATTTGGCTGCTGTACACTACAAATACTCACATGAAAAAAATTGTGATTGTTTATGTTTGGATGGTGCTTTATGATGAAAATCACATTTTTAATTCCCATAACAACCAGTGTTGAGCATGAATGCTACAGTGCCTTCCAGGAAACGTATAAGGTTTTACTTTGTGAAAATTCTTAAATATTGCAAAAGTGAATTCAGGGCTCAAACCTGTTAATAATGATCGGTCTTTGTGTCAAAGGTCATTCCAGGCAATTACCAGCGAAAAGTGACTGAGAGCATCCTGTAAAACATCCTGGAAGAGGAACATTCCACAGCAAGATCCCCAGAATCTGTTTCTTGTCAGCAGGCAGAAAGTCCACTAATGTGCAACTAAAACCCAGTGGTAGAAAACTATCTTAACATAATGTTTTCCTGCCAACGTGTAAATATATACTGATACAAGTCTAGCTTTGAAATGGTACATAAGTGAAGTGCAGTTAAAGTATAACAAATGCAGAAAGTCCCCTAGTGTCTCATAATTACATGTTATATAAAGGAATAATCAACATATAAGTAGCCTTTTATTATTGTGGCGAAAGTGGAGCTAATTCCATATTTTATATCTAGTACTATGGATTAGTTTGATCTCATGTAACATAGTTTATAACTGAGGATATGTGGAATCTCAATTTGTTAAACTGTAAATGTAGTGGATTAAATAGAACAACATTTCGCTCTGAAACAGTATGTTATGTTCCACAACAGTCCGGACCCGGCATAAATATGCAACACTCTTCCCACACACCTGTTCATTCAAATATAACATTGCTTCTTGCTTTATACAGTGTTGGTTTTCCAATACTTATCTTCTTTCAAATTCAATTCCCAATTTTAGGCCATTTAATCTAATTCATTTAGTTTTGTATTTTGTAAATCACAAATAACAAGTTTAGCCATGAGGGCTTTACAATCTGTACACATATGAATGACTTCCTCTGTCCTGGGGAATCAATTTCAGCAAATACATAACAACTTTGCAGTATCAATATATCAAATAATAACTAGTATGATATAATATATATCGTATATTTGTCAGTCGTCTCATCTGCTCAAACCAGCCTTGATGAGAACGCTCAAGCTTGGGGCAAAACCAAAGAGTCTTATTAAGGACGCTGATTGGCTATATTGTATCTCCCGTATTGTTTTTCTTTAATCAGCAACCCTAACCCAGAATCAGAAACATTTATTTTTTAAGGTATCTTGGACATCCAAGGAAATTGTCATGGTGGGTGGTGCATACATGGAACAAAGGGGGATAATGTCCAATTCAATTAACAATAGAGTATAAAGGGATACAAAATAAAATATAAAATACAACATAAAAAGATAAAGTGCACATGAAAAAAAGATAAAGGCAAGCAGATAGCCAACAGTGTTTTGGATAGAGTCAGTCAGTGGGGGACCCGGACTCTGTTAATGAGCCTGACTGCCAACGGGAAGAATCTGTGTGGCGTAAAGGCCTGATGCATAGTTAGTTGGAAAAAAACTATCTGATAAAACGAAAGGAATAAACTTTAGGGAGACAAGCAAAGTCACTCAAAAATCCCTCTCAAATGATGTCCAGAAGGGCAATGTCATGCAACTGTACTATATTTGATTTAATCTGTAATAACACAGTGAAATGTTCCTGCAGTAAAATGTTTTTTCTTCCTCTTTCTTGTATGTAAAATAAAAAAAACAAAACAAAAGAAGTATACAATAGAATATAATATAATTGAACTATGTTTTGATAAAGGAATAAGGTCGCTCCCACTGATGCTTCGACTTATTCTGTCAATCTTATTAACCAATAGGCTGCGAGAAGAGGCGGGACTTCCTCTGTCAAAGACACGTGTATCGGGAAGTAGGAAGTAAATACGGAGGAGGCGAGCTGCCGCTGGAAAGAAGTAAGTTACTTAAACCTGTAACAAAAAATAACCGAGAACTTAAAACTCGCCTAAATTAAACTTTGCCGGAACAATGTGTTTAGTTAAATAACCCCCGAAATGGAGTTTGAGGGAAATGTAACAGCGTTATTTTACCGTATGAAGCGAGCAAGCATTTAACGGTAGCCGGTTGGCTGCTAGTTTACCTGCACACTTCATGTCCTGTGTGTCCGTGTTTGTAACTCAGGTACACGGACACACAGGACACGCACGAGCCCGTGTCAATCTGTTCATGCACCGCTACAGTATCAATATCAAAACAGACGCAGAACAGAAACACCTGTTTATGTAAAAGGTATAAACTAATGAATGAACAATTATGTTTTTTGCTGTAACCTACAGTCTTTGTCTGGTGATAAGAAGCGATGTGAGCAAACGCACACATTGAAGGTTTTCTTCTTGAGGCCCTGTTACATTGTTTTAACATTTTATTATCAGCCTGTTATATTAACTGGGATCTCGGTGTCCACGTTGTTTGGATGAATGTGACTTCTTAACTGATGATTAATAGTTAAAAAATAATGAGATTAATTTAGCTCCCATGTGACACATCACATCACCGCACCTTGACATGTTCTAAGCTGCACTCAATGGAAAAGTGACGGAGCAAACCCAACAGGTTTGGCTACAGGGATGCAAAAATGTATTCCAGGATATTCGAGTTCTGATCAAACATCTGATCTCATTTGTTTGATGTGTGCTGAAACCCAAACAACGGGTGTGTATATCAGACCGGTAATGCGTAAAGGCAAACAATCTAGAGGAGTCGGCGGAGGCGCGTTCGTTTGGATCACTTGTCATTCTTCTCTATATTTTGTCATCAAAGTCACTTGTAAATGACGGGGACGATCCTGGATGAATTCTCGTTGGAGTGGCCTCATTAAGAGCCAGGGCAGTAACTGGAACATTTCCATCCATGTCCAATTAAATGTGAACGTGCCTGTGTGTCGCTTGTCCAGGTCTGGCACCATGCTGGAAGGCTACAGCCCTGTGACCCAGGCTCTGCTGGGGACTCTGTTCACCTGGGCTCTGACTGCTGCCGGAGCTGCCCTGGTGTTTGTCTTCTCCAGCCGCCAGGTATCGCATGAAAACCACGACGTACAGAAAAAAAAACTGTGTAAAAACTATATATGCGTTCTTTTAAAAAAAGGACCAATTGGCATTTTGGTAGATAAACTTTGCCACTGTGTTGGAAATAGTCTGATGAGTTGAAAACACGGGTGTAACGATTCATCCACTGAATCGATTTTTATTCCTGCGATCCAACTGAATCGATCTGTGCTCCGCAAATCGGCATTCCGGGCATATATCAATTACAAATCGATTGAAATGGTACATCATCGATTTGTATCGATTCTTGGAAACTGCACATTGGATTTAAGCACAAAAACTGTATGGATGTGTGTTTGTTTGTTTGTAAGTTTTTTAGCACTTTAGACACGTTAAACGTTACTGGATTCAGTCTGCCTGTCTGTGACGTCATCAGTACGCAGCGGCAGCCACACGAAACTCTGAACAACAACAAAGCACAGCGTGGAGGAGACGACTGCGAGCGAGACATTTACAAACCAACTTATCGATCCAGCGTGTGGAAACATTTTGGTTTTTGCAAACACGGAGGTGTTCTAAATAAGTCGGTCGCTGTTTGTAGAATATGTAGAAGACAAATAAAAAACACGGAAACACGACGAATCTTTCCGGCCATCTACTAAGGTGCCGTGGGATTAAACAACGCCAACAGTCAGGCACCTCTAGCAGCGTCACCGCTGCAGCAGCAGCAGGTAACTCCAGCTCTGCAGACACCTCAGGCCTCGCCAGCACCAAACTCAACATCACAGTAACAATTGCCAAGTTTATCTGTAAAGACATGCGACCCTACAATGTGGTTGAAAATCCGGGGTTCTGTAAATTGATCCAAACATTGTGTAATTATTGTGTAATGTTTACATTGAAAATGGCACTTAATTCAAATAAAATACAATACATTTGCCATTAATTGGGCTTGTTTATAATATCCATAATTAATTTAAACCTGATTTCCTTACAAGAAACAACGGGGATCTCAGAAACTTTGCCTGCACTGTCCAGTAGTTACTGAATCGATTTCAAGTCATTGAATCGAATCACCCCTAGTTGATACCACTCCCACATTTGTATGGCAAATATGCAGGTGGGGCTAGCAGCTGGTTAGCCTAGCTGGGCATACTAGTATGGATACTTGTTAATAGGGCAGCTCTGGAGGTGCTGCAAGCTGCAGTTTAATACCTTTGGGCAGTACCAGGCTACCTGTGTGTGAATGTCCATACTAGGCTAAGACAACTGTCTCCGGGCTATAACATCCGACACAGACAGACATGAGAGTGATAAGAATCTTGCCATTGTTGGTGCAGAGCAAATAAGCCTATTTCCCAGAATGCCAAACCTTTTATTCAAACAGCAATGTTCTGCACATTGTTCGATGTCCCCACAGCCCATGTCGAAAGAGCTGCTGCAGAATCTCCAGTGCTGCCTCAGTTTCCACAAAGGGAACAATGTCTCGGACAAAGTGATGCTCTCACAAAGCGCACAGTGTTAACCACCTGATCAACCAGCAAATCAATCAATCAAATCGTTATCGTTTTTATGTAATAAAAGTAGATCAACGTTGACGTATGGTTTTGGATGGGACACGATGAGCCGTCTTCTGTGTTTGTTTGACCCATTCATTCACCCCAACCCTCCCTTTACGTGGACTTCCACGGACAACAATCCGATTTGCATTTTTCGTATGTCAAAAAAACCAAACGTAACCCTGGAGACATATATATACACAGGATGTGTCTTAGGCGTCCTGAGCGTAGGTCCCCCATGTTAACACTCATGTTTTGATCGAGTCAAGTAAAAAATCTATAAACACAACTGATTAAAAGATATCATTGGTCTGGCTGACTCACACCATCTCTCTTCTTGTCTGACCTTTTCAGAAGCGCATCTTGGATGGAAGTTTGGGCTTTGCAGCTGGGGTGAGTTAGATTTCTTTTGAATCTCTCTCTCACGCACGCACACATACACACACACACACACACACACACACATACACATATTTTGCAAGTAGGAAGATGCCGCTATGTTATGGAATTTTTGGAGGCTTCCCCGTGGTAGGCTGAGTTTCTTCCAGGCGTTTCCTGATGGCATGTCAATTCAAGGTTGAGATGATGAGGAAATTCCTGGCTTCCATCCTGTCTGAAGAGGTTATGCTGCAATAGGAACTACAGCCCCAGAGCTCAATATCCGACTCACGCCATTACATTTCATGATTTCCTCAGGGGGAAGCAGTTCACGGATTATATTTATCAGGTGTCTCAGTGCAGAGAATCGGGAGCATATCTGAAGTGGCACCGAATGGAAAAAATATCATTGCATTACTATAACACAATCTTTTGGCATACCTCTGCTACAAATTAGGAATGCCCTGTAGCTGTTTTGACTACTTAGAGGTTCATAAAAGAGAGAAATGCATAATATTAAATGGGAGATGTTCAGAATGTTAAGTATGCATTTGATTTTCAAATAATGACCGTCTATTGAACCTCACAAGAGGGACGAAGAGTGCGCACATCCAAGCAAAGGCAAAATAGATCCTTAACAGCAGGGCACCGCCGACCTCCTGTCGAGCACGTTGGAGAGTCATTTGCCTTCGTGTGGCGTAGAAACGAGTGTTTGTTCCTTCGCTCTGTTAGTGAAGCACTGAGGAGTCCACGAAGGGGGCCTACTTCCTTTGCAGATATGGGGGCTCACAATTTTTAGTCTCACGTGGTTACACTCACAGGTAAGGACATAGTTAGGAATATTGATTTCCTCTGTCTTTTTTTAAACACAAGCTTTTTAAGAAATGTGTCCACAATACCGTTTTTCTTGTGCTCTTGCAATGGACAGATAAACAATAATGTCACCAAAGCCACACAATTTGAAATGCTGCAAATATATGCATTTTGCAAAACTCTACCATCATGATCAAAGGTTACCTAACAGGCATTTATTCCATTTTAAGTCCTCTTGATTGCCACTTTAAACATTCACTTTCATGGAGGCCGCTTTGTCCGTGTGAAATGGATTAATTCTTTTAATCCCGTTGAAACTTAATTGCGATTCCTTAAATTGAGACCGAGGTTGTAGATAATAACCGGCCCCGATGAGTGAGCTGATAAGACTAATGCCAAACGAGGAGAGATTCCACGTGAAAAACGCGCCCATCTAATCTCGATCAGCTCTCATCTCGGTTATCTGCAGTTCAATCTAAACATCTTTTCAATTACGTCCCAGTCTGATGCTCTTATACGTTCCAACGGAATACGATAAGACGGAGACGTGTTGGGGGGGGCTGGGGGGCATAATGTCATCTGTCCATCCGCAGTTTTTTGGCTGTGATAGTTTATTAAATAAAGGTGTACTTTAAGTTGTTTCATCTTCGTTGAAATATTGCTCTACCTCGGCTCCAGTTTTGTTTATATTCCTTTAAATGTCAAAATCGAATTCAATGGACATCGGAAATGTTTTGTAACAACTAGAATTACCGTGTGCTTGGAACAAAAGCTGCTAACACAGGATATGTGGATGGGGTGAGACTAAGTGCTGCTGCTCAAGGTAGCCAAATTATACAATTTAGTTTTCCCTGCATGCGGACGGTAAACTGCCTCCCCCCCGACTCACAGGTGCCTCAGTGCTGCAGCTGTGCCAAGTGCCAAAACACTGCTGCTCCTTTTGACTTGTTTCACAAAGTGAGCAATAAAAGGTCTGTGGAAATAAAGAGGAGGCGGAAAGAGGATCGGTTCTCCCTTCGTGCCCCGTTGATTGGGGAAGGTCCTGAGAGGCCTTGCGATTGCTTTCTGGCTGCAGACGGAGAATGAAAGAAGGTCCAATAGTGGCCAGTTTAAAGTATGGAGGCAGCGATGGAAGGAACATCAAGTGTGCTGGTTTGTTTCTCAGCCTGCAGAAGCATAAATGGCTTCTATCATTCTTTCTGTTTAAGTTTTTCCAGCCTGTTTACTCCCTAATTCTTTTTTGTTACTGCGCTGACCATAGCTGCTACTCACATGCAAGACTCCACTCTGACAAGCTTAGTACCTCTGCCTAGTAAAGCCCTGATGGGTGCACCTTGCATGGTGTCAGGGGATGAATGGGGGAATAACATCAAACGCTTTGAGTGGACTAGAATCAGCTCCAAACTCCCATTTGCAGCTGGTACAATGAGCATTATTCCAAACTATAGATTCAAGGGTTAATGGTTTATTTTATTGATGTAATCAATACTGCTCCTAAAAGGTCTTATGGATCATTTAACAACACCATTTACGTTATGGCCATCAACTTTCATCTCCTGATCAGAGGTTACGCATTAAAGCTGAGCTAACGGTGTGAAAATTCATCCAATGTTAACCCCAAATCTGAAAGCGGTAAACCCGCTGAAATATTCTTATTCCATAGAATGTTGGACTGGTTGATGCAGTTCATGTTCTCATCAGTGAAGCCAGACATGTAAGCTCTAAGTTTATTGGCAATTGAAGTCTAACGATGGAACCAAGAGAATGTCTTTATTCTTTGTCTTTTGCTGAATTAGGTTGCAAAGAGGGAACCTCACACCTTCTCTGTCACTGAAGAGCAGAACAGATGAGTGCATGTGAGCGTGTTATAATTGGATATCGACACACATACGGAGGAGATTCAATTCAATTTGTCGGTCAAATGTCACTGTAGGTAAAGAATGTTGAGGTGACTCGTGAAGATATCGGCTTCTAGGACAGACTGTGACCTTTACAAAAATTAGACTTTAAACTGTAGTTTCTGCTCTCAACTTCTAATGTAAAATATTACTCACTTGAAACATAGTCCTTTTTATCCTTTTTTTATTGATCAATAGCAATTTTACATGCTATTAAGCACACGCCAATATTTTTCTTTCAACAATTTTTGATAGAACTTTCTTCCAAATAATACGTAGAAAATATTTGGTGCAAAAACCAACATATATATATATATATATATATATATATATATACACACACACACACACACTGATTTTCTCAGCTCAATAAAGGCATCACCTGCTAAGAACAGCACATACGCTGCTTGATACAAAGACGGCAGAAGTAATCACTTCTTTTAACCTTGACAAAGACGATGCACCTGTTCCACTCATTCCTTTTACAATAAAGCCATCCGGTGGCCGTACTCCCAAAGCCAGAGCTGTGTTTGGGTCCTAAGCAGAAATTCTGAGGCGTTTCCGGTGGGGGTCGTCCTTCGCCAGGGCCGCGCCTTGTCACAAATCCTGTTTGTGGTTTTTTTATGCACCGATATCGAGGCGTAGTCTGGGGGCGGAGGGTCTAAAGTTCGGGGTGCCGTGGATCTGATCGCTGCTTTTTGCAGATGATGAGGTCCGGATGGCGTCTTCGGTCTGTGACCTCCAACTCTCACTGCGGCGGTTCGCAGCAGAGTGTGAAGCGGTCAGGTTAAGGGTCAGGACCTTTAAATGTGAGCCCGTGGTTCTCCGCAGGAAAGCGACGGATAGCCTTGCCTGTAGGGAATGTGTCCTTACCCTAAATGAAGAAGTTCAGGTACCTCGGGGTCTTGTTTGCGAGTTTACCTTCGACAGACGCTGCTGCTGGTCACTGCTCTGCATCAGTTAATCTACTTCAATCGTTATTGATATTCATTGTATCTGCATGTATAAATAGTTTTGATGCAGCAAAACATTTTGTCCTTTACTGAGTTTGGCTAACACATTTTTTTCCAACACCCATGAGTAACACTCACTGTGGCTACACAGCAAATACAATTGGTTTGATTACAGTAATCAAGCATCTCCAGATGGATTACGCTCCATTTAGCTTTGGTTTGAATTACCAGTTTTTGATTGGGAATCAGCGCATCGCTTCATTTCAAACCTTTGCTTAGTTCTGATCAAATCAGAATCTTATGTTGAACGAGTCCGTGTGAGTGCGACCCTGCCTAACATTAAAACCGAATCGTGCACAGGCCTGCGCGCGTGTGAGGGGTGTCTCATCACCTGCAGCTGTCATTCTTTTCACAGGATTTCAGATGCCATCCTGTTCCATGCTTTGCATCCGTCTACTGATTCACACACACACAGACATGTCACGGCAGAAAATCAGGTCACGGATTTGTTATCATTTCTATATTACTATACATCTCACTCATTTCAAGTCCACACCCTCGTGTTTCCTTGTTTTAGGCTTGCTGCAGTTTATCTATTCTGGGAAAGAACTGTTGGAGGAAGGAAATTACAGCTAATACGTCTTCTTTAAGTTCATTTCGGGAACATCTGGTTTCCGTTTGATACAACATGCCAGTCATTTCTTCACTGGGATTATGAGGGGAAGTCCAGCTGACTGTCAAGAATTACGATCATCTACAAACATCGGGCGGTGCGGCTGTGGAACGACGTCTGGCTTTGAGTTTGGAACTCGCGCCTGTGGTTATTAGGTTTTCCTTTTAAAAATGATACAGTAAATAGCAATGCAGATTATTGGATTTATTATACCCACCTCCAAAAATGTAATCAACATTCTCGCACTAATAAAGTTCCAAAGCTGTTGGTACCTTTTTAGCAACAAACTGGTATTACTGGTGCTAATGCATGCATGATTATCAATATTGTTGATGGCCTTGATGTGCCAGACTATAAGACTTGCGCTTAAAGTGTCTGCCTGTCAGATTGAATCCATAACCATTAAAAACAAAAACCTGCCTTCACTCCAATCATTTTAGTTCTAGTGTCGTAAAAGTTATTAACTCAGTAAATAGAAAACACATCCACCTCTTTGTGCTTGTACTGAGCAGTTATTCATGCTGTCCCCTCCCGGGTAACGTGTGATTTTAATCATAGCTTTCACTCCGATCCTCATAATGCGTGGTAGACTTATTGTTGTTTCACGCATACAGAAGTCTAACAGAAACGAAGCAATTACTCTCACAGCTAAAACTGAACACAAAACCGTGGAGGAGG